CGGGAGCTGCGCTCGGTGCTCACAGCCCCACAGCCGCTCCCCTCCGTGCTCACAGCCCCCCAGGTCTCCGGCCCCACGGCAGGTCCCTCTGGTGTTGCCGCCCCGCAGCCCAGCCAGCCCCGTGGGCCGCTCTCCGCAGCTCCACCAGCCCCGGTGCCTCCCCCCAGCCCCATGGCGGCCACCCCGGCCCCACAGCGGCAGCCGGGCAGCCCCCGCTCCCGCAGCGCCGCTGTCCCCTCAGCCTGGGGCCCCCGGCCGTCGTTGYGCTCGGGCCGCCCGCCGGCTCTGGCAGCCCTCGTGCTCGATCATTATTCTGGGTCAGCAGCAATAGCAGGAAAGGGCAGACATTTTGTCAGCAYTGGCGTCAAAGTCCCGGGCCGCAGAAGCGCGTTCCGTTACCAAAGGAACAAACGGCCTGCAGGGCTAGTGGTGCCGTTAAAACCATGTAGAGATGAAGCCGTCTTCCCGGGGAGCTCAGCTTTTGTGCTTCCTCTGTAATTGCCCCCTTAAAAGTTATGCAATGGTTGCTCCGATTAATCAGCTAAAACTTGTGAGCAAAGCTTGCTCGAACACGAAGGTGGAAGCCAGGAGGAGAGTCCGAGTCCCAGAACATTTCCCCACRTTCCTGCCCCTGTCCCTTGTGCTGCTTTGGGCAGGGATTTAAGGCTTCTCCTCTCCCTCCCCTCRCGGCAGGAATGTAAGAAGACTGTAATTGCCCGAAGGTGGGTAGGCCTTTTTAATTATTTATTTTACTCAGAACTTGGCCCAGATCCCTTGGAAGGAATCAATTCTAACAGAAATGCTTCTTATTGAGAAATGTCCCGCCTCAGTCAAGAGCTACRGCCGCACTGCGCTTGCAGGTGGCATCTTTCACCCTGTTTGGGAAGCCTTCTTGCTGCTCCCTCTCCATACCTCGCTTTCCACTCCCATCTTTATCTCCTCCCAACCACCTTCACTGAGTTCCCACCTTGTCCCGCTTCCTCTCATGGCCCTTGGGTCGCTCCTGTTCAGATGCTCTCTCGTTGCAGAGCCGCGGGCCTCCTTTGTTTGCTCCGCAACGAAACCCGGCTTCCTCACCGCACGCCCCGGAGGAAAGGGCCTCGCACAGCGCTACCCTAGAACCCGTTTTAAGCCATACACTGTGTTTTGTCTGATGGATCCGCTTCACGGGGCAGTAGAGCAACTTCCCAGGATCTCTTTCCTTTGCCCCTTGACTGGGCTGAGTTAGAAAGAATGGTATAAATTGTTTATTTAAGTGAAAAATGGGCTTTTTGGGTGAAAAATGGGTTTATTTAAGTGAAAAATTAAGTGCGTGACTGACCCCAAAATTCCTGATGCTGTGAACTTGGTGTGTGGATCTGGGCAACATTTTCTCAGCGTGCTGGGTACTTTTATCTGGCATCTTTTATGTAAGTTCAGCTTCAAATGGTCATTAGTTTTAACTATGCGATGTAGTTCTTTAYCCGATGAATAAATTGGGGACGTCGCTGTTTCTGCAGTATATAAATGGAAACGCCAGAGCTCGTTCACAGAAGCGTGAAGTCTGGGCAGAGGAAGGTGCTATTAGGTAACTACCACAATACCAGCGAAGCAGCTGGGAGGGTGCCGTGCAGCGCGGCGCCCCTCTCGCTCCCAGCACCCGGGGCTACAAGAAGGGCACGTCCCGGTTTCCCCTTCCTCTTTCACAACCGAGGCTCAACGTGAATTTTCCCAATCCCTGCATTTCTACCATTAATGGCTCAGCAGCCAGGTAATACCCAACCAGCACCAGGTGGACTCAACCGCTCGCTTTACTTCAACTTACCTTTATTTAATATAGTGGTTGATGAGATGTTGTGGTCCATCCTAAGTGGTTCCTGTTGTGAAGTTTCTGAGAAATCAGAGCAGTTACTGGGCTAATATGGGAAGGCTTTGACCTCCCTGCTTGTGGTAGGCCAGATTCAGGTCTTTTCAAGTCCTGTTTAGACACATTTCAACACAGAAATTACTTCAGGCTGACCGTTTTGGCAAATTATGGCTTTAAATTCTTTCAGTGATTTTTTTTCCCTTTTTTTCCCCCCTTTTTTTTGCTCACAAACATCAGATATCCTTGCTAACAAGGCAGCCTATACTATGACAGCCACTGGTGTCTGAAATAAAACATCTAGAGTCAATCTTGAACAAACGGGAGAAAATTCCTCAAAGATGCTGCTCAAGTTGGGTTGCTGACGTATGGCAAAGGCTCAGACCACAGGCCCAGCAGCCACCAACTTTTACTAGATACCGAGATGCTATTTTGAGCTGCTAAGCCTGGAAGTGAAGCAGGAGACTTTCTCGCAGCAACATCATTCAGGTTTAATGTTTGCAAATGCTGCATGAAGACTTGACCTTCTCTGTCACTGTTTCCAGGGCCGCTGGTTAATTTTTAAGAGCAACAAGGCTATCACACTGCTGCTKTTTCTAATGCAATGAAGAAATGTCGTGTAATCTGCCTACAGGGACCACTGATCTCAGCTCTGGGACTAGCACACCAGGCCAGGTTCATCTTAAGACCTCTGGTTGCTTTAAATTCAAGAGATTAAAGATTCTCTCCCTCCTCCCACCCGCTCACGGACTTGACACGAGATGCCCTGCGCRTCGGCCTCACGTGCTGGGCAAGTGCCACGGTCCCTACTTGTCATTCTGCATGGAGGAACAGCGCCCAGTGCCAGCACGAAGGGACAAGCACATAAATGAGCTCACACGAGGCAGACGGAAGGAAGGAAATAGTCCTTTGGCCACATCTGCTGGTGGCCTGGCCTGTGAGGAGTCCACACACCGACTGGGGTCTCAGAAAGGCAGCGAAACCATCACAGCCCAAGGGACAGCCAGAGCTGCTGCAACTTGACAGGCAGAAGCAGAATATTGGTGCGGAGCAGCTAGCAGGGGTTCCCGACAACTCCCCTCCAAGGGGGATCAAGGGAGAACATGGGGGCACGCAAGAGCACACGTGTCCTCGGTGTAGAAGACCACGGCACAGGTTGCTCCATCTCCTTCCCTTGATTTGTGAGAAGTATTAGACTCCTAACAGACCTCAATCAAGGGAAAGGGTAGCAGATAAGAGCTAGGGAAGTTCTGTGCAAGAATACGCCACCAACTGAAGAACGAGTCCAAACGCAGCAGCACTAATATAGAGATTTTATTTGAACTGTATTGAGTGTACAGCACATTTTGTTTGTCACAATGCTATCGAACTGATTTTAGAGTTTTTGGCCAGCACATTGTGACGCTGAAACTCACAAGAGCTAAAAGCAGTTTGGACTAATGGCCGGAATTGAAGGGCCAGGAGTACCTAGTTTCTGGCTTCCTTATTGCTTGCAGTCACGCCAACACGTGCAAAACGGAGCCAAATCCAAGTCTTCTTCCAGCCCAACGGTCACTCTCCCACGTCTGGCAATGACTGCAAGGTACAAGGCAGGGAAGAATGTGAAGCCAGGTGCCTTCTCTTCCCAAAGCCATATTGGTTGTTCCCAGTATGGAAAAGAAGCACAGTCCAAGTAAGTACAGGGTCTTCAGATGAGGCTAGCTTTGCTTGCGCTATTGAGATTTACTGACATGTCCAAGTGCAGGAAAGGGTCATTATTCCGTTCCCTCTGCTGGGGCTGACAGACCATTGGCAAAAGAAAAACCTGCGAGATCCGAACAGCGCGACGCCGTTTGCCTCGTGGCTGGACCACGTGCCGTCCCCGGCCCTCTCCCCACGTCACGTCTCAGCTCACGAGGCACCCAATACACACAGCGTTTTCATCGAGTTGGAAAGAAAACCTACACTGCGACAGAGAAATGCCTCGTGTTGGAACTGTTCTTCCTCACTAATATCTGCAGATTTCTCGGGAAGGARGCAGCATGGATCCACCCAGAGTGGTCTAGGGGGTAAGCAAAAGCTCACCTGAAACCCTCTTTTTTTTCTAAATCCTTGTTTCTAAACCCTGTTCCTTTTGTTCTTAGGATGAGCTGGGATTCCTGCTCCCCAGTTTAAGGAAGAAGCAGGGAGGCAATTACAGGTTGGCAACTCTGAACTTTGACCACTGTACAGGAGACAAAAAAAGGAGGCTGAATTCGAGACGACTTTTTAAGTCGCATTGGGGAAAACCAAAGAGGTTGTTTCCAGGACCGACCAGATGCCACATGTCATGGCTGTCACTGTAGCTTGGCTGCACATCCCAAAGTGAAAAGCACAGATTACAATGTCTATGTCAGCCAGTGTCCTTCCCCACCCTTGTTTTGGTATCAATGCTTCATTCTCCCTTTTTTGGGTTACATTAAGTGCACAGAAATATATAGCAGCATTTGGACTGAAACCCTCACATACACCAGACAGCACATTCCAGGAGATAAAACAACACATTATGGCCTATACCCTCACGGTATCAAGTTTTCAGGATAAAGAGCAAGAGGAAGTGGAGAGCGGAGGGCAGGAAGGGGAGGAGGAGCAACACAGGAGCACGGGTTCTGTTTCCATGCCGGAGAGGATCAGGGCGCCATTCCCGTGTGAGCACCAGGCCGTGACACTGCTGCGGACAAAGCAGACGGCAGAGCAGGAAGGGAAAAAGCCAAATCTCCCTCTCCCCCACAGCRCTGGGGGCAGAGTCAAGTGCAATCACCAGTCCTAGCAGAGGTGGAAACAGGGAAAATCGCCTTGCCCTGTTCTCAGTCAGAATTAATCTCTCTTCCAACGCTCAAGAGGAAAATCAATTAGTGATGGCTAATGAGTCTTGTTCACCAAGCTGATCGCAAATCACACTCCATGGAAAGAGAATCTACAGGACTGCTCTGGGCTGAGAGCTGGGATCCTTCGAGGCACGTGGCGCTGCCCGGAGCTGCCCTGCTCCTTGTGCAGAGCCTGCCTTTGTAGGGGGAGTTGCTTCTAAACATGCCTTCCTATTGYTTTGGGGGTACTTTGCACAGGCAACATCTGTGAAAACATTCCTTTCCAGCCCACAGAAGAGAGAGGTTGCAGTCCCCCCTTTAGCCCTAGTTTGTCAGACTACGACGTATGGACCCACCGGCACCAGAGTGGGGACACACACACCATGCTCTCTACTTTGAGCTCCTCTGCTCCAGGCTGATAATAAGACTGCTGAAGACAGTGCTTTCAAGCTTGGTGTTCAAGTGTTGCACCAAAGGCCTTCACAACGACAGTGGAGGCAGAGTCACCCTTCAAACCCGCGAGAGAAAAGGCTGGGCTCGACAGGTCCCTTGTCTGGCATTCAGCTGGAGGCCGTGGCGATGGGTTTCTTCAGGTGTTGGCTCATGAGCTCCCTGGCACGAGACACTTGGATATGGTCATAACAGGAGTTACAAACGAGGACGGGGTCGTAGAGCTGCTGGTCAGGGATGGGCAGCTTCAGATGGCAGCAAGCAGCACAAAACACATTCCCGCAATTCCTGTCAAGGAGCAAGAACACAAGTGAACAGAGAGAGCTGGGAACACCGGAACACAACTTGGGGAAGTGCAAAGGATCCAGCAGTGAAGCCCTGGCCGTACTTATGCCCGTGCTGCTTAAGGGTATTAAGACGGTCTTCAGAAGCACTGAAAAGGGACTTGGGCATTTACTACTCAGAAGAAAGATCAACGACATGAGGAAAAAGGAAACAGGAACAGTGGAGAAGACTGAAAATCTATCAAGAATTTACATGAGGCTTGGTGTAATAAAGGAAAGATCTAAAGCTTTCTGCTGGGAGCCAAAGTGAACAAGCACTGCAGCAACGGGTTTGGTGATGTTTGAGAGAAACAGAAGCAGCAGATAGTGGAAACGTAGGGAAAAGAAAAATGCTCACCTGCAGTGATGCCTCCGCTTGGCCAGCCAGAATTCACAGTCGCAGTTAAAGCAGTGYGAGGCCATGTGGTCTGGGACCCACCGCGTCACCTAGGGCAAACACCGCTCCGGGTCAGTGCAAGTTTGCACGCCGCCCTCCCCAGGGTCCTTGGACACCAAAGCACAGCTGAGAACGCGCTGGCCCGTAGAGCATATCCCACAAAAAGACGCCTACGAGCCCCAACATCCCATCGCTACACGGGGCACATCAGGAGGATGTCGAACCTCCGGCACCCTGTCTTAAAGGACGAGGGTCCCTGCTCTGACTCTCCTCCAACCCATTCTCTGCTGCTGTCACCCAAGGTAACTACCAGAAAGGAAATACTCTCTCACTGTGCATTTACAGCCGTCATACACACACGTACCTCAGTCTCCTTCTTATCAACAGGCTCCCAGCTTGCTTCTGACAGGCAGTCCTCGCTGTGATCGGAGCAGAAATCCTCCGTGTCGCTGCCATCCGATTCCTTCAAGCAGGTCTGTAACAAGAGCCAAAGTCACCAATTCCCTCAGCTGCCTCAAAGCCAGGGACGTTCCCTCCCCGCAGCCACATTCACGTCGCTCGGGAGGGAATATGGGCAGCTCTGCTGTTCCCCGTATGGGGAATAAAAGGAGGATGAATTCAGCACCATATAGGAGCCATAGCTTGACTCTCGAGTAGCAAAGAGAGAATAGTTTTATCTTTGCATGGGGACATGGCATGACACCAAGAGGGGAAAGGGGCCAAAGCAGCACAGGAACAGTCCTAACATCCCCTCCGAATGCAAGAGGATGAGAGCGGTGGGATGGGGAGGGCGCTGAGGGGAAGGAGCGTTGCTGGCCGGGAGCTGCAGTGCCTGGACGGCTACTTACGAAGTCGTCCTCGTAGTCCATGGGTGGCTCGGCCGGAGGGGCGCAGCAGTGACGAATGTCCAGCCGCAGCTGCAGCTCTCGCACCTGCCTGCGCAGCTGCTCAACCTCCTGCTTGTAGCTGGCCTCGATCTGCCGCAGCCTGTGCTGGATCACGTCCGTGGGGAAGGGGAGCCCGTCATCGTCCAGGTAGAGAGGAGGCACAGGAGAAGGACATTTCGGCGGCACGTGTTTGGGACCGGCGGCTTGTTTCAGGTGGCAGGGGAGCCACGAGCGGCTGGGCCTCCCTGCAGGGCCTGCGGGATGGGGCGCAGCGTGGCCGGGGCAGCCCGGGGCTCTCGCACCGTCCCTGGCAGCCCAGTGGGTGCCCAGGCCGGGTGCCCGCAGCTGCCTGCTGCTCAGCCTCTTGCTGCAGCAGCCGTACAGAAGATGTCTGGGGGCAGGCTCCCCATTGGGGACAGATGTCACCATTCCTTGGAAACTGTCCCAGTTGGATCCCAGGAAGGAGAATTCGCTGCTTTGGCTCTGGGAAATGGTCTTACGCCACTGCTCGAGGGGAGCCTTCCCCAGCCGGGCCGGCTCCTCGCAGGGCCCTTTCCTCCGGGCATCAGCTTTGCAATGGTCTCCATCCAGGCAGGGGAGGCCCAGGGCAGGGCCGGGGGTATCCCGTAAAGCGCTGCTTGGAGCGAGCGACTCCTGGCTGGGAATGTCTTGACCCGCAGTGCTTTTCTTGGGACAGGTTCCTCCATTGGATACCAAGCCAGGAGCCTTCAAAGGTTCCTGGGGGCAGGTTTCCAGCTGCTTCCCAGAAGTGGTGCAAATTCCGTCAAGACCTTCCTGTGCGGCCAGATTTGGGGCTGGGTTTGCAGCACCTGGCTCCGCTACCTGTGGGCTGTCGGCTGCCGCCGCTGGGGAGGTGCTGGCCGGCCCGGGCGCCCGGGCACCCGGCTGCCCACCGTGCCCGGGGGGCTCAGCGGGGCTCCCGTGCCTGTCGCCAGGCTGCCCCGGGCCGCCTGCCGCTCGCTCCTCGGCTCTGTGCTGCCCCTCTCCCGCAGCCGCGGCGCTGCCTTCGCYGCCGGGCTGCTCCGCGCTCTCCGCGCTCGCAGGCCTGGCGTCCAGCCCCATCCGCACGTCCTGACAGTGGTTGTTGAGGTTCGGATCGCTGGACGTGCGCGTCAGTGGGCTGCTGGAGTCGCAGGCTGACAGCAGGTCATCCATAGATCTTGTCTTTGGTAATCTAGAAGCCAAAAGCAAAGTAAATCTCCAATCAACACTAAAGCTTCCCTCATTTCTGTAGGCAGTGAGGCGTAGGACAGGAAGAATTCCTTATTATGGAGCACTGGGGCTGGCAGGGGARGCTGCGCAGCACGAGCGGGAACGCACAGCGCCGCAGCCCATCGGGAGAGCTCTGTGTGCCCTGCTGCCAGTGCCTGCGACCCGCCACAGAGCTCCTGCTCTGCAGGACACACATCACAGAGAGCTACTAGAGGTAGCACTGGCCAGAGAATACACAGTGAGCAAGAAGGGGGAAAAGGAGCTTGTGAGCAGGAAGGAGCCTGGTCTGGGGCTCCAGCCTCTTACCTGTCCAAACATCTGCCACTGAACTCCTGGCTTTGAGATCCAGAGGGCAGGTAAATGTCCATCTCATCCTGTCCTAGAGGGTGAGGGGAGGAAGCTGGCAGATACACTGCTGTCCAGACGTGCAGCGCTCGTACGTGGCACACTGGATGCAGCACCTGCAACAACCCTTATGTTCAGAAAACACCACCACAGCGAACCTCCTCACCCCACCTTCCCCACWGCCCTTTGTGCCTGGCTGCCCGAGAGCCCGCAGCTCAGCCAGGAACGTTCCTTACCTGCTCGGAGCCCGGCATGTAGAGAAGATTGTGGAAGTTCTTATTGCCAGCGCGCAGGAGGGACCACACGGAGCAGGTTCTCTTGTAGATGTTGTGCATCTCTCGCTCGCACGGGCTGTTCCCGAGGAAGGTCCCGTAGAGGCAGGAGTAAGTGTGCTGCACCAGCTTCACCTGGCACCGAGAGAGCAACAACCGTCAGAGCTGCGGGAAATCAGGGCCTCCTATCTCCAAGGGCAACATCTTCCACTCTCCCGGGACAGCTCCGGTGCTTCCCATCCAGCTGGCTACCTCAGTGCTGTCCTCTCTATCAAAGAGGGCAGGACAAGCACAGGAGTCACTTATATCAGTTGACTGATGCCTTCACTTTAATAGCACATCTATCCCTCTATAACCACAACCCATGCTATTTGATGATCAGATTATGAGCTATCACCACCCTATTTTCTTAATGTTTCAGATCCATATCATTCTGTGAGATGAAGAATTGGGCTTCTGAGAAAACTGTGCTCTGAGGCTACCCGAATTCATGGGACTATGGGGAAACCTGGAGAAAACGTGATAAAAAACAAAAGAAAACAAAAACCACCAAACAAACAAAATCAAAAAAATCTCAGAATACGGAAGTCTTCATCATTGTCCAGCCCAGTAAGGGTGCCTGTAATACCCCTGGGAGAGAAGGAACGTGCAAGGAGCTGAAGAGAGGCAGACAGGAACACGACATAGTGAAGCAAGTGCAAGTATGAAAAAAGGCAGGGTTGCACCTACACAGTGACCTTGGTTCAGCCATGCCAATAGGAAAGTCCAAGAAGTACTGAAACACTGTCCCATTTTTACAGAATTTAATTTTTGCTCCTTTCAACTGGAGCASCATAAAACGTCGCAGCCTTCCCCGTAGCTTTGCAAGTAATCGAGATGTTTGCTTGCGTGGTTCTTACCAAAAAAGCTTCGTTGAATTCAAAGAGGCAAGGGAATTGCTTCAGAAGCTGATGAACAGCATCCAGCCACTGGAGAAACACCGGGCACTGCTCGTTCTGATCTTCCACCTTCTCTTGGTGACCACAGCGGTCACCAAATTTGTGACCAAAATCCAGCCAGTCTGATTCCACCAGCACTTGGAAGCCCTGTGAAGACAACGGAGCGTTAAGTGCAGGCAACTTCGCTGCAGGCACCGCGGCAGGACACAGCAAGTCCTTAGTGTTGAGCAGGGCTGCAAAGGAGGCTGCGTTAGTGCTGGGCCTCGCAGCAAAGCTACCTGAAAGTCAGAGATTTCCAAATACAAAACAGCAGCTGTTATCTCTACATCAAACAGCTTTGGGCACACGTAACAGCAGAGAAGCAGCTGAMCCTCAAACACAACAGAATATTTACTGAAGTACTTGAAGCTGAGCAGGGGTGTGAGTGTGAGATACAGTTCATGGAGAACAGACGGGAAGAGCACATGGAAAAACCCAACAGCCACAGGAGCAGCTCTGAAACTCCGCCGAGCTGCTGCRGAGCCAAAGGCAATTCCACCCATTTTCCTCCTGCAGAGATTCCAAAGATCAGAGCTGCCTTTTCACAGACAGGGAACACGGGAGCAGCAGAGCCGATACCTCCATGGTCCTGTAGTAGGGGTCCAGCAGAATCTTGGCCAGCGCCACGATCTGCGGCGTCCTGTCCCAGCCGTCCGAGCAATGAACCAGCACCGGGCGCCCCTCTCTGTCCACCGCGCTGGCGACCAGAACTGCTGCCTTCAGCATCACGGAAAGGTGCTGCAGCCACTTGGTGCTCTCCAGAGCCGAAAGCCAGCTAGAGGGTGTGCAGAAAGGAAACGCTTGCTTAGCTTTCCAGTGGGAAAAAAAATACATATTATCCAGAGATTTCTTGGAGTCCTCAGTGAAAACCACCTCCGAAAGAGAAATCAGCCAGTTTGGGACTAAGTACAAAGAATTTATAGTTAGTTTTTCTCAGACAACTACTTGAAATCTTTTATTAAATCTTCAGGAAAGACACTTAGTTAAGTCTCCCAGTGCTGCAATCCCTTCTGAATTAAAAAGGACCAAAATGAGCAGCATTCAAGCACCAGAGGTGCTTTCCTATCCCTCTAATTTCTGACACCGAACTCTGAGAGGATAAAGGAAACAGAGAGGAAGAAAAGAAGTCTTCCAGGACATTTACTAGATGCAGTGTGCAGCGCATGCAGAGACAAAAGTCACTTACTTGCTAGGGTCTGGCACCTGGCTGCAGACAGCACGCAGGTACTGAAAGCTGTTCCGTATGGAGTGGATGTTGGCCATGCCCATGAACACAACCTCACAGTTTGGGTAATACTCTGAATACACAACCAGGAGGGGAAAGAAAAAAAAGAAAAAGAAGAAAAAAGAAGAAAAAAAATCAGTGAGTGCTGCTGCCCCTGAAGGAAGTGTCTCCGTACAGGGGTTTTGTTTCCCCCTTCCCCAGCACCACTTCCCAGGCTCCAGCAGCGGGTGGGCACTTAAGCGTCCCAGCAGTGTACCCAGGACACTGACCTAGTGCTGAGAAGGGCTCACGGGATGGAAACCAAGACATAGACCTGGCTCAAGCTGCGCCCCAAGACCCGATCAGTACAAGTGAGTCGAGAGGAAGGGGCTCAGCCCCACGCACCTTCACACTCGCAGCCTCCTCCCTTTGCTCTGTTGGCAACGGCCGCCGTGTAGGACCTCGCGTCGAGGATCAGCAGCTTCTGAGGAGTTCCAGTGTTCTCCACACCTGAACATGCCGTCAGCGACGCGTCTGCGGAGACAGCACAGGCTGAGCTCGTGGCACCTCCGTCCCTCCCTTGGCACCAGCCAAGCAAAGGCTCAAAGGCCCGTGCCCCTGTCCCCTTACAACTGGGGATAACATGGCCCAGACCATCAGTCTGGAGGTCAAGTTTCAACCTTCCCCTCTAACAGGGGAAGGCTGGCAGCCAGGTTTCAGCCCAGAACGCAGGTTCTGGCTGCAGCAGGGGGTGTTTCCACCAGGAAAGCACAGGGGGTTTGGCTCCCGCCCGCTGCCTGCGCTGGGGTGCCGGGGGCTGGGAGCGCGCGGCGGCGGCGGCGGCGTCTCACCGAAGTCGGCGTCGCAGGGCTCGCTGCCGTCGCTGCTGGCGCCGGGCGGCGCCRCGCCGCCCGCCCTCGCTCCGGGGTTCAGGGCACACGCTTTGGCGATGGAGCTCACAAGATACTCGTCGTCGGCGTTGCGCCAGCCCCACCAGCTGATCTCGGGCTGGCTGCAGCGTGCGATGACCGCCCCGTTGCGCACGTGCCTGCAAGAGAAGCGACAGCCTCAGGATGCCACCCAAGAAATGAGAATGCACCTTGGCTTTCCCCGTTTATGTGCGCACATTGAGCCACCCTCCTCGCCACTTCATGCACGGCACCCCCTCGCAGCCCCGCAGAGCAGGAGCACGGGGCATTGCAAATAAACGCCGCGTGCAGCAGCCGCTGGCGGCGGCGTGAGCCGCAGCTCAGACGGGCCCTGCAGCGAGCGACGGCCACGGCCCGGCCCGGCAGCCCAGCTGCTGCCCAGGGGGAGCTGCCAGCTGTTCTAGCTCCAAGTCATTAGAGTGCCAGAGAATTTTAAATAGCTGCAGTTATACTTTGAGCAAATAATATTTACCGTCGTACTATCCTGTTCTCCCATTATCGTGTTTTTTTTCTCCCTGCAAGTAAGTGCTGGTGCCATTTGATTTATTGGTTGTAAATTAGGAAGATTAGCTCACTAAGCACTAGATTGGCTAGTTTCTGGGTGGAGGCTTGAGCTGAAGTTTATTAATAGCCCCTAAAAATGTGAACCCTACCCTAATTCTTAGCAATCAAGGCTTGGCAGAGGCAGAAAGCAGGAATAAGTGTTCATTTTTCACATGGACATATGAGTGGAGCTATTTGCGAAGGGCCTGCAAAAAGAGTGGACAATCAAGCAACAAAGTTTGCTGGTGATACAAAGTTATCCGGGACAGTCTGGAACAGTTCCCGAGGACCTCATGGTACCAGGCAATAAAAATAATGCGTAAAATTTCACACTGATWAATGGGGTATTTATAAAGATGTGCAGAATGTGTCCCTGTCTAGAATAGGAAGCAATTGAGTATAAACCAGCAGTTAAATCTCAAGACAAACACTCTGAAACCCCTGTCTTGTTCTCCAAAAACTTCAGCTTCATGCTCAAGAGAAGCAAAAAGGTTAAGAAATTGTTAAACATTACTAAAAAAGAAATAAAGAAGAGAACAGAAAATATGATGGCACTACATCCTATGCTTACATCTTCCAAGCTGCACAGATTTCTTACTAGCCCTCCCCAAGAACAATGCAGTGCTCAACTACAGCACTCAAATTCAGTGCTCAAAACCCGACAGCAAAGGGTGAGGGGGCAATCAGAGGCATMGAGCAGTTCTGTTATAGAAAGAGCTCAAGGTGGCAATGCCTCTGACACAGCAGAGTGACAAGAATGGATACGAAAGGCATAAAATGTCAAGGCAAGATGTATATATTGGTTCCAAGATGAATAAATTCATGGMGAGTAGATCCATAAAGTGACCATGAAAATCCTATGTTTTCCTGAATACCTCTTTTGGCAAATCTGCAAGCTATTGTGGGCTCCAAATAGACCCAGCAGGGCAGAACACCTGCAGACTTGTTCCGCTTGCTAAGTGTCTTCCCTGAGCCCCTACTGCAGCTCCCTGCCCTTSTCGGAGAGAGGACCCCGGCCTGGGCAGCCCTGCCCCTCAGGGCTGCCAGGGCTGCCTCTCCCTACCCCAGTCCCTCCTGCAGCAGCCTGAGATCAAGATGCAGAGGGAGCATCTGGCAACCCCCTTCCAACCATTCTTCTTGTGGTCGACACCTCTGAAAGTTGCATCATTGGCCAAGAAGGGRACGTGAAGGTCTAAACCCGAAAGCACATTAGCACGAGCTTCACTCCATCACTCCAAGGGGAGCGTGGCACCAGCTGTGACACTGGCTTGCAGAAACAGTTTTGCTAATAATTTTCCTTCTCAGGGACAAAATCTCCTTCCTCTCTTCAGGGAGCTGACCAGTAAGCCAGGGAAATTGCTTCCTTCTCTGAACAGGTAATAATGATGAAGTCTGTGAACCAGACTTCCCAAGAAGTAACATTTGTGTGCRTCTAAGTCCAAACATCGTTGTCCTTTTCCTTTTGGTGCCATCCACTGCTGCTGCTTTGTGCTGCAAGGTGAGCAGTCACTCCAGATCTGTCCTACAGAATGGGGAACACCCCCAGCAGCCAGGGCTTGCTTTAGAGCAGCAGTGAAACGGAGCGAGGGGTGGACTCGAGCGTCGGCCCGTGATCACCTGCCTTGTTTTCCAGCACACCCACAGCCCCGGAGCCTCCTTCCCACCCGGGAAATGCAGTGCCCTGCTGGGAACTGCTCCCCACAGGCCCCCTGGACGCAGGATGCAGTCACACTGCTCCRGCGTGCAGAGGGAAAGAGCTCAGCAGGGCCGAGGTGAGCTGTGCAAGGACACGTGAACATGCAGGCAGGAACAGCCTGCTAAAGGCAGTGCCACAGGCGGAGCCAAAGAGGCATGCTTCACTYAGGAAGTTTCATGGGTCCGCAAGACAAAACAGTACAAGAAGTGCTAGACAGGGGATGGTCTGCAGGTGGCCAGTTTGAAAAGACAGAAGGCTGGGCCAAAAAGCAAAACAAAACATGGCCAGCAGCGATGAGCACGAAGAGAGCAGCGAGCTGAAAGCCCCACGAGTGGCCGTGGGCTCAGCCAACACTGAGCGGGTGCTGTGCTCCCCAAGCCAGGGTCGCAGCCACACCTCGGCTCTCTTCTCATTCTCCTGCAAATGCCCCAGCACGGGCATAGGAAGCATTTCAGTTCATTCTTGCTTGGGACTTCTGCAGAGGTTTCCCCCAGAAAGTAACGCTCGCTGTCCTTGAAGTGAAGAAGGTGGAGGATGCCACGGCGTTTTAACTTATGTGGACAGAATTATTCCTTAGGGATTCTCAGGTTAGACCTGGAGCCTTTTCAGAATTCAAAGCTGGAGTGGAAAGGGCCTCTATAGTCATTAGTTCGGGTCTACCCCAGGCTCGCTCAGAATACGTGGGGAGAGCATATTTGATCTGTCAGCACATGCCATCCGACCTATAACCATCATCCAAGCAGCAGCAACTAATGTCTTTTAAATGTTCCCTCTGTTATCTGGCTGGACGAGTGCTCCTCCACCCCRGAAAGTCAAGCAGCTTGGCTAAAACCCCAAGGAAGAGCTGAGAGAGGGTTTCCAAAGCTGCTGCCTCTCCGCTGTCACCTACACACATCTTGGCYGGGAACCTTTGTGTCAGTGGTTTCAGTTTCCGAGTCCCTGGATTAGAGCCCCGGCCCGTTCCTTTGGACGAGAAGAGCGAGCGCTCGGCTCTGCAGCCTCCCGCTGCGGCACGAGGCCRGGCCGGCTCCGAGGAGCCGCCCAGCAGAGCCCCAAGGTCCTGGGGAAGTGGCTGTGCAGACAGCGAGCAAGCCGGCACAGGGCAGCCAGCTCCCTTTGCAGTCTGCTAAATAATTGATTGCATCCTCTGTGTTGTTTTAAAAATGGACTGTCTGGAGGCTCCTGCAGTGCACCTCCACCAAGGACAGAAAGATGCAGAGCTGTATTTCTAGAATGTTTAAACAGCTAAATTGTACTTTTTTCTATGGAAACTGATAACATGATATCTTCAGTATCATATGATTTATAAATCTGACTGTGAACCACTGAATTCAGCCCTGTTCTCAAAAAAAAAACCCCAAACAAACAAACAACCCTCCCTCATCTCTCTCAATTTTACTAGTCTTGTAATTCCTGACTCACTGAGCTTTTAGTGCCCTTAGGACACACTCATCCAAGCCCACTTGTCCCCAGAGCTGAGTGCCAGGCTGTTCATGTCTTCTTGCTACAGAAAGAGAACACTCCAGAAACAGGCATGACCCTTGTGGACTTTGCTGGCCAAAAAGACTTCAATCTTGAGGGCAAAGGCTAAAGAATGCATGGGAATGARATACAAAGGGGGAAAGCACCCATGATTGTCCCATCTTATAATGTAACTTGTCAGCATCTTCTAATCCGATCCATGGCTGCAAAGGGTTACACCTCAGCCTGTGAATTCCTAGGTACCATTACAGGGATGTTTCTTTCAGACACATCACTTTCCTACAAGATGTTTAATAAGACATCACCTCCCCCAACCCTGCTTCATTTTCTGCACATTTTAAAGGAGGGATATATTACTTCTGGAAGGCTCCTCTGCTCAGGAAATACGTACTGTTCACATTTACCTGCTAGACAAGAATCAGCTTCCAGCCACGTGCAAACATTTTGACCTACCTGTTCACTAAACAWTTTCAAACTCTCAGAACTCAGCTAAAACAAAAGTGATTTCCCGCTGGGTATTAAAGGGTACCTATCAAGGCCTTACTAACAGCTAGACAGGAGAGCCACCCAGCAGGCCTGTTTTGGCTAGGACTTCTTTTAGAAGTAGCAGGCAAATATCAATCCCAGGAAAAGTTTAGAAGCTCCCAGAAGGACAAGCCTAATTCCAGGCCACTTTCCTGACTCCCATAGGAGGTAAGTTGCCCACATCTTCACATCCAGCTGGAAGTGGGAAAGAAGCAACAGTTCCCRGGACATCTTTTCTCCCTTCTGAAGAACACCCTGCGTTTTATCATCAGAGGCTGAGATCCTAGCAAGCCTCACGTGTGCTGGGGGCAGGAAGGCTCCTGAGAGTAGGCATCACTCCACAGCCCTGCACACCCCCCCGCTAAGCCTGGCTTCCCTACACGGAGCACGAAGACTAAAGGGAAAGGACAGCTACTGTGGGATGGTGCTGCAGCCATGAGTATTGGTTGGTTTGATCTTTACCTGTACACCACAACAGGGATCCTTTTCCAAGATCTAAACGACGCCACATTCTCCAGCTCCTTGTCAGTAATCCAGACAGGAACCAGCAGCTTCTGGGGATAACTGGAACAAAGCCTAGAAAAGAAGGCAACATGGCAAAGTGACAATACAGCAAGCAGAACCTATACTGCATAAACCATGCAGAGGCAGAAAGCAGGAGCTGCTCAGACTTCTCCTGCAGTCAGGCAAGCTGACGAGGGGCACGGAGGAGCAGTGTGCGCTCTAGGCTGCAGTGCACGTTGCCTGTCCCGAGGCAGGAGGGAAGCGGGGGAGCCGGCAGGCGAGTTCCAGCTGGTGTCCCGGCATTCCCGAGCGCCGCTCGTCCCGCCACCGCAGCAGCCCCGACACCGGGAGGCCGCCGGGCACGGCGGGCAGCCACGCTGCACCGGGCTCCGCGTGTGCCAGGACGTGGGAGACTTCCCACGCTGCCTGGACAGCTCCTTGGCAAGCCCCATGAAGGAGCCTACCGTGTCCAAGCGGTAAAAACAGGGAATTCAGGAAGCAAAATGTAAGCTATCGAGTGGGAAGCTGAAGACCAATACGTCTATGAGACACCCTGTGAAATGCTTGTTATTCCGCATGTAAAACTGGACAGGGAATCAGAAAAACCCAGTTCCAATGTGTGAGTGAGAGTGATGGTACCTGAAAGAAGGCCAGCCTCTACTAAGCTATGGAGGAAGTTTTGGAGTATCTGAAGTCTATACGCTGGACTTTATCTAGATCTAAAGATTAAACATGACAGGAGCTGTCTGAAACTAAAAACGGAACTGATACAGCACTTCTTCTAAAAGTTAAGTAACTAAAACTCTGCATCTTAGGAAAGGGTAAAACAGACGGTAATAATATTCAGATAAGAAATAAAAGGAAATTTTCAAGAAGTTAACCCAAATTTGGGGAGGGTACCTAAAAACARGTAATGAGATCAAGACAAATGCATGTGCATCTAAGACTAGATTTCAAAAAAAGAGGAAGAGAAGAGCCAGGGTAAAGGAGCTGCTGCCTTATCCAGATCTTGATTGATACAAGGAAGRTTAGCGGTACCTGAGTGTGGGGGTATAAGCTTTATAGGAAGCCTAGAATAGGCCGAGACTGTGAATACGGTGTGCACGATGTTTAAGAAGGGTGAGAAGAAAATGTGAGGCCACATAAAATTACTCACGTCAACTAGCAACGTGCACACGGACTGGGATCCCTGAGGCTAAAGGGAAACAGAAAAGCATCAGGGCTCTTCTACCAACGGTCAGAGCACGATGGCAACACCTGGGACAGGCTGAGGGAGATTCAGAAAGGCAGAAACTGCCGTGGAAACTTGTGAGGCACCCACGTAAAYGTGGACACGCCACGACGTGACACCAAGGCCACAGGTTCAGAGGGTATCACCTGCTTCTGGGTGCCCCAAACCGAACAGGACGGAGGAGACACAACTCTCTAGTTGTAAACGTGCACATAGCTACACCAGGCTAGAAAARCTGGCGGAAAAGGATCATTCTGTAACCGGGACCAACACACAATGGTGAAATTCAACAATATTTTTAGAGTGGAAAGCCCCCCATTACTGTAATGTATTGGCTTCAGAAAGGGAACTACCTGAAGAAAAGCTTTCCTTGAAGTGAGAGGAGAAAGCAAGAACAGGAAAAGGCCACAGCTAATGTTGCTGGTGGTTTAAATGGACCCTTCAGGGTACCAGGGAGCTCAGCAATCCACCAAACAAACCAGAAGGAGCTGCCAGACGTAACCAGCTGGGAAAGGACAGGCTAGAAGGACGCCCTGCAAAGAGGGGAAGTGTTCCTAAATGACACAAACCTGTAGGGTCAAATGCAAACCTAAATTAAAACCAGTGAAGAGCCGACAAGAGATGCCATGCAGGTTTGGGGAGAAGAAATGATGAGATAAAAGCCACGAAGACCTTTCGCAAACACCCAGGAGGCAGCCGGCCTGCTACGGGCTCCCAAGGTCTGCTGCATGTGCAAGATCCTAGCAGATCCTAACAGAAAAGCAAAGCAATTTGCACTGGTGTTTACCAGAAAAGTGCATAAAGGTGCTACCATGACTGCTCCTCTTGTACAAGGGACAACGTGGAGGAAAAGAAGGAAGGATCAGCAGCAAGTATTTTAGCATTAATTGCTAGAAATGAAGAGGAACTTACCACCAGCACCAGACAACATTCCCTCAACGGTTCCACAGCAACGCAGGTCAATGATTAGGGGAGGTGTGTAAGCGATTGCTGACATTGGCTCTAGCAGCAGAGGAATGCAAGGTGGCAGAGGTGCTATGGGATCGTATGGAGCCCCGGGGGAGAACGTGGGAAACCACCGGGCCCGACCTCTGCACAAYGCCAGGGCCGCGGCCGCGCGCGCGCCAGCAAATCCGGAGCACGTGGGAAGAGCCCAGGTGACGGTGGCGGAGGGAGGTCCCGCCGCAAGCACCGGGAGTCGCCCGCACCTGCCTGCCAGGGCACGGGGCTTCACGCACGGGCGGCGGGACCGCAGCAGCCCTGGGTCTACCCCGACCCAAACCGTAACCGCAACGTTTGATTGCAGAAAGAGGCAGCAATTAAACAACTGCATAAATCAACACGAGTCGTGTCTACAGAACCGGGCTGGCAAAGCCGCCRCTTGCATGAGAAGAGGCAGCCATACCAACAGAAGATTAATATCAAGATTATTACATCAGCGGCCAGTTTTACCACTGCAGGTCCTAATAATCCTTGTAGACTTCTTGTCTAAACATTCATAGGGCAAATAAAAGCAAGAATGCCAGGTATCTCCCTTCTCATGCAAGTTCTAGCTCCAACAACACAGGCTCATTAGGTGAGGTCTTTCAGAACATGCAGTTTCCTAGGTGTACAAACCACTGAAGATGCGAGAGCCATGGTGAGATTATGCTATAATTTTCTTATTGTGGTGTGCTGAAATAGTTTACTTTTATCAAGACCGAAGGAGTGGTGATTACATGCCTATATTGCTCTGCTTTTATGATGGCTGTCGCCAGGAAGAAGATAATAGCGCCCAGATAAGACCATCTCGGAACGGACTTGAAAGAGAACGAACAAAGCCATTACCTTGGAGTATCCTGTCTCTAGCCACATTGTTTTGCCAATGCTGGGAAATAAAAGATAAAAAGAACTATAAACAGTTAAAAAGTAACCTGATTCCTGTGAATAGAGGCAGGTGGTAATGATCAAAAGCCAAGGCATGATTTAAAGACAGCCTCCCTGGAGCAGCAAGAGAGAACTGGTTTCTGAGTTGCACAAGCAGATTACAGCACCTTTAAGATCTTGGGATGTCTGCAGGAAGCCGAGACCTGCCGGGTTCCCCAGACAGGAACTCGGCAGACGCTAGGAAAGCAAAACCAGGCACGTATCCAGCCTGCTGAGGGGAGTTCCGAGGCCTTTCCTCCCAGCCCTCTCCAAAAGCAGACATCTGTCATTAGAGAAGACTGCTCTATCGCTGGCCGCAACTGCTAGGAGGTCAAACACAGATGGTTAATCCAAGTTGGATGTTCTGAAACAATCAGAGGGAATCACATCCTACAATCTAGACTAGAAGTTGGGGAAAAGACCGACTGCCTTCCAAGACACGCAGTGACTCTGGCTAGGCCAGGGACACGTTTCCCACTCCTGAAAATTGAACAGTTCAGAAAAACATTTTTTTATCTGATGCTCTGGATAAACTACATAAATACCATCAAAGTATGCAAGAGTCCAAAAGCAGCGATGGGGTCAGTATGTCCAAGTGGAAACTAGGGTAAATCAAACCTTAATGTGGTGCTTCATGACTGGCTTTCTTAGGAAGCAAGCGAGAGGACATAACAGACAAAAAAATTACCAAATTCCACTGGGATTTCTCCAAATTGGTGTTCCTGAGGCTTCTCAGAGACCAACCACCAAAAATGCTGACCTGAATCCATCTGATATACAGAGGATAAAGAGGCCTCYACTAACAGAAGCAGAGAAAAGGCTGAGGGACATGAGTCATTTCAAGAAAAGGGACATAGAATATTCAGAAATGCATGTCAGTCAAAGCTTAATAAAACCCTGCTACTGTTGGCTGAATGCCACCTACTGCAAAGAAAGTGCAAACGCTTCCTCCTGAGCTCCTCTGCTCTTGCGGAAGAGCAGAAAACACAGGTTAGAGTCACTGAAGTGCTGGGGGGAAGGACCTTGGAGGGATGCCCACTCCAAACACATGCTCAGAGTTGGCCAGTGTAGAATCAGGCTGGCCATGGCCTTGTCTGCCTGACACCCTCCACTGAAGGACGTTCCTCACTTCTTTGGGGGTCCCCTTCTCCTGGGGAAGTATTTTTTTCTGAGGGCTCCAGTCTGAGCCCTCTAAGCTCCAACTTGTGGCCACTACCCCTACATGTATTAGCTGTCACTACCAGAAGAGTTTGGCTCCATCACCTTCGTAGCTGCCTTTCAAGCAGTTGTGGGCTGCACGCAGATCACCATTTAGCTGCCTCTTTACCAGGTTAAACACGACCAGCTCATTCCTCCTCTCATTACTGGCTCTGCTCCCTACACTTCTCCGGTTTCTCAGCATCCCTACTTAGCTAGGCTGAACGGCTGACTTCCTCTATGGAAACACAGTACTTCTTTTCCCATTTCAAACAGTGTGAGAACTTTAGGGAAAAGACAGACTAGAAAAGCAGCCCTGTAATGGAGGAATTCTCCAGGCTCCAAAAAGTCTTCAAGGAAGACCCTGACCCCCACATTATAAACTGCACAACTCGGCATATACATAGCGACTGATGCCAGCTCTGAAGTTTGGGSTGTATTTCTTCTCCAATACCCTGATCTGAAGGAAGGAAGATCCAAGCTCATCCCCTGATCGAACTGAGAGCTAAGAAGGAGTATGAGCTATTTAGGGATTGTGATAGAGAAAAGGGAAAGGAGAGGAGACTGGGAAGAGCCTGAGTGCAAACAACTCACTTGTAATTGTTGTTGATGTCGGAGACTCGCCAGACGTTCTGCAGGTCGAAGCCCATCCTCACCAGCTCCATCTCAAATCGGTACTTCACGTGGTCACCTGCAAGAGCAGAGGATCATATATTTACTGACAGCTAAGCACAACTGAGGAAATTTAAGCTTATTATTTGCAGCTTTATAGTAACTATTAGAGGTCTGGATAAAAATCATAGGCTATCTGGATGGCAGGGATATTGCTCAAGATGCCAGAGAGACTCGCCCTTCACGGGGGTTCCTCTGCTTCTCTGGCAGCAACAAATCTCAGCCTCAGAGCACGAAGTGACAGAAAAACACTTTTCCTATGCTATATCTTAATATAAATACTGAAAAGCCCTTGGCTTCATTCGTACACTGCAGCACCAGTTTCCACAGGGGAATATTTTTAGGCTACAGAATATCCTCTCTAAAGGACAAGACACCAAATATCTCCTACCTCCTTGTGTCTGAGGCAGGGAAGGATGATGTACTTCACCCTTCCTTACCAGCAACTTTTGAGTGCTTCTCTACCGCCATTCTACCCATTCCCCTACCCTCCATATGAACCTGTGTACAGACCTTTCACTTGTTCTTTCTGCTCTTCTATCAGCACATTTKAAACTCTAAAACTAGGTTTACTGTGCTTTTTTTAATCCCCTCTCCTTCATGCTGAAACAGTTGAAAAGACAAACCAGCTGAAAGGGAACTTTGTGTTCAAGAGAGGGCAAGCTGCTGAGCCACAGGAGGGCACCATTACAATAGTCGTGTTATTCCCACAGGTTTTAMTTGGCTCCGTGTAGGAAGGAACCGCCTCTCTGCAGCCCTGGCCACAGGGGTGTCATGGTGCTTCTAGGTGTGGAAGAGGTGCAGGCAGAATCACATCAGTTAGGAAGCCTCAAAGCTGCTTACATTTACTATGCAGGGACAAGCTTACTTGCTGTCTCTCATCACCAGGAAAGCACGGGGTGTTCTCTTCATTCACAAGGAGAAAAGAACAGGAGGAGTATCTGTTGCTGCCTTAAGGGCTCCTCATTGTGATTAGCGTTATTCTTTTTATCGTGCTTATTATCCAGCTGCATCCAGACATTATTAGTTGGATATCTAGGTCACGTGGGGCCACATACGGGATGCCCTTGAGCAAGATGGACGTGGACGATGGCCAGAGAAGAACAATACACATCAGTAGCCTAGGGTCAAGTCACACGCGCTGCTCCTCTGAGCAGAGCACAGGGGGACATGGGGACAGGCCGCACGCTGACCTGGACGGCAGAGATGTGCATGTTGATCCTCCTCATCGACACAGACCCCCAAGCACCACGCGTGGTAGGCGAACGCAAAGAGGTCCTCGGGCTTCGCAGGGCGGGCAATGGCTCGAGTCAGCCTCTTCAGCCACTCCTGGCACTGCTTGAAGGTGGAGAAATGGCACCTGCAAACACAGATTTGTACCATGTTCAGTGGCTACATATATCCAGCCAACCCCCAAACAGGGAGTTTTATTCCATTCAACAGGAAAAAGGAGTAAAACACCAAGTCCCAGAAAAAAATAAAAAACACCACAGAGAAGCCTTGGCCACAAACAGGTTTTTRAGGGTTCTGATCCCAGTAGCAATGCAGAGGGAGATAACAAAGTTATCATGGCAAGTGGCTTGCAGTGGTCTTCACACTACAGCAACACCGTGGATACCTGATTACTTTGGAGTCCTTGCAGACAATGTGGAGCTGGAACATATCCCGGCACTCCACACTTTCCATCATCCTCAAAGGCACCTGCAACAGACAGATGCAGGGTATGACAAGTCATCCCACGTCAACGTTTGTGTCTACTTTGCTTTTAGCTCCATCAAGCCCAGCCACGACTCTATGAATAATCAGCACCAGCTCATGCTACGAATCCCCCCCCAGGTCTGTGAAGCTCCAGGACCCCGTCTCCTGCASGAAGCGCTGCTCTGACTGCCCTCTGTCCCTGCCACTCTCCCACCACAGCCCAGCTGCTGGCTAATGCACACAAGCAGGGCAGCCCTGGAGCCAAACGAAGCCTGCAATAAAAGGCAGCAAGCCGAGGGGTAGCGAGGGAAAGCCTCAGATTCCCACCRGCTGATGCTTAAAAGGCCTCAGTACAAGACAAGTGCCCTGCGGGCTGGCCTCCAAGACACCTTAACAGTCTTAAAATCCCCAAGTTTTCTGCTTGGATGAAAGAACAGCATGGGAAACACCCATTWCCATGCACAGAAGAACCTATCCCCACAACAGGACCACCCTCACCTCACACGGCAGCAGGACAGCAGCTGCACAACTAGCAGCAACAAGAGAGAAGATCAGGCCTGGCATCTTTCAAGAGGCATCTGAGGCTCCTGAGCCTCAGATGATGGGAGCAGGTTATGCCCCAGTGAAATACCACAAGAGGTTACAGTTCAAGCAGCAGAAACAGGAACAGCGAGACTTACATTGATCACAGAATCCTTAAATTTGATGTGAAGCCGGTAGTTGGAGATGGCGATCACAGCATCRTTTGCATGGCCAAGATACTCCACTCCCTCACCCTGCAACACAGTGAAAGGGACCTGGAAGAGAGACATCACTAATTGAGGACATGGGCAGAGCGTTCTGTGCACCGTAAACACCACGAGCCCCTCTCCCTGCTGCCCCTGCATCTCTCCTGCGGGAGACCAGCACAGCCCTGTGCTTTCCATGTGCTGCCGGGAGCCGACAGCACTAAAGCAGCCGGGCACCTCCTGCAGCCCACGCCACGAATCCCCTTCCACGGGTGCYTCAGGAAACACGGAGCAGCTACTGACAGCCAGGGAACGTGCAGAGGGAAAGGGCACCACGAGCGCGGCCCGGCCCGAGGGAGGGCAACAGCAGGGAGGGCATTGCACGGGGCACGGGGCAGGTCCCTCGCACAGGGAACAAAC